AAGTTGACAAAGGCATTGCGAAAAGAAAGAGATTTTGGTAACTCTCTTGAGAGAAGTGTATTCGCCATTGATTATCCAAATGCACATCTATCTGCGTATTCTTAAATCGTGACAGCAAATTCGTGATGCACACTGACATTTCCAGATAAGGATAACAATATGTTTAAAAACATTTTTTTAAATTAATACTGTAATCTTATGAACTACTCTCTGTATCATCCGTTGGCTCACTTTGTTTATTCCCGTATTTCTCCTTAGCTCTTTTTCGCCTTTTCGCCTCTCTCTTTTTAATCCGATCTCCTTTAACAGCGGATTTACTAAGATCACCATTAAAATAGTTATCTAATTTCTGAATCATGATCTTTCTTGCTATGGACCGATTTTGCTGTAGGGAACGTGTTTGTTGACACTAAAAAAAGAGAAATCAAAAAGGCATACATATTACAGTAGCCCAAGCAATCACTAAAACTTGGATTACTTACCTGGACTCGAATGCCCGTTGGTATGTGTCTCAAATCGACACAGTTGGATGTCGTGTTAATCTTTTGACCACCATTTCCTGATCCCTTGACAAATGATTCGATTAAATCTTGTTCGTTCAGTTCGATCTCTATTACTTTATTGTTTGAGTTTGAACAGTTTTCGTTGGATTCCTCGGTTTCCTCTGAATTTGCAGCAGAACTCAAGGAACGACCAATTATTAAATAATTTAGAGTAGATTTTTCATGGAGAATCAGTGTCGGTGTGTTGTTTTTTGAAATGATATGAACTCTGGTGAAAAATTTTTCGAAACTTGTGAAGACAAAACGAAACGCGGGTATTAACGAAGTATTCATCTTCCGATTTGCAAATCTACATAACGTTAGCCAATGTAATTGCATTTGTCACGTGGAAAATATTGGTGACCAATGATCGGGGTCCACGTTATGATGCATTCGAGTAATAATAAAGTCTCACCTAGTACTGTGTGCATAAAACTCTCTCGCTCCCCAAGATGCGAAATCTATTAATAATTCTCTTTGTCGCACTTTCGACAATCTTTCTTCTCGCAGATTCGAAATCAACGACAGGAGATCGAGTATTGGTCTTATTGGATCGCGGGGGTGACAAAAAATCATATAGTCAATTTTTCAAAATCCTAGAAGGTAACGATTTCTCCCTAATCGTCGGCTAAATCAGAACGATTATTAATTTCATGATAAATTTTCTAAATTGATCGAATCCAGAACTTGGATATAAATTATCATATAAACTGCCCACGGATCCAACTTTGGATTTATTTACATATGGAGAACGAGCCTATGATCACATTATC